ACACTTGAAGCTACATATTTATTTATACAGCACATAAAGTTTGCTATTGAGCAAGCAATGTTTATAGGTGATGTAAAACTTCACTAGTTAAATGCAATACACTGTTCACAGCTATTGTTTTAAATAATACAATACTTTAAAAGGATTAAATTGTTTCTAACGGCAGAAAAAATGCCATCTGTGTTCCCTGTGCAGAAGATTTGATTGTCTCCAGCAATTGGTGACACAGCAGTCTCTAGGCTCTGGCAATGAGCAGTGAAAAGCTTCTTGTCCATTTAGCGCAGAATCCAGCTCACTTGTTGAACAATAGAATGCAGGTACAAGAGTGTGGGGGCATGTCACTCATTCTGTCAAGGACAATGATCACTTGAAGCTACTGCTGCCACTTAGGAAATAAACCATGAAGTCACAACATGTTCTGGCAGGTAACCCCTTGTTTGCCAGACCCTTTATTTATCTTGCAAGATGAGCAATGACCCCGCTGCTTTGCCACAAGGAGCATGCTGCTAATGAGAGGTGCAGGGTTAATAACTGACTTGTTAAGTCATTTGTGCACACTGTAGAATGGTCCAGCTGACAGCTGCGGCTGCACGACTACTATCAGGCTTATTCAAAAAGACAAAAACCACTGGGAAAATGCAGCAACCAATACATTTTTGCTGCTGTATATTTTGTAAGCTGATTGCTATGGGTGATTGTACTCACCGTAACCTACTTTACTGCCTTGCTCAATAAATGCATATTTAGAAATGCAGTTACCCATGGTACCAAAAAAAGATTTATTGCAATTGGTTGCTGGTAGCTAGTGCATTTCACAAACCATCCTTATGGTGGCTATACACACTTCGATAAATGATCAATTGCTTTTCAGATCAATCTCTTCCGAAGGAATAATCAATCTAAAGTAGACAACCCATTTGATCAATACGCCACAACCAGGGAAGTGCTGGTTAAAATACGATTGTCACTTCTGAATGTAAGTTATCGATTGCATCTCTGTTTCCACCATGTCATTTCATAAACTGATTGATTAAAATACAATCGTATTCATGAACAATGTATCCCAGTGCTGACAAAATTATGCAAAACGATCAATAATTGTCTGCATTGGCCGATTCAATTCAAATCCGATCCAAACAGAGTCTGAATCAATCAGAAGGGAAGTTAGAGCTGTTCAATGGTTTGCAGATTTGTTCGTTTTGAATGATAGACACATTGATGGGATAATAAAATCAAAGCATGTATGGCCACCATTACTCTGTGTTGCCCTGATTTGTTGAGCCTGGTCATATATTTTACATTGAATGTCAATATTTATACAATTGTGGTTATAATCAATTAACACAACAAATACAACAAGCATTTTCTTTTGTTCAGCAATACCTTAGAGCTGCCAAGCACAACATTTTGTTACAGAATAGCTCAGCAACAAGTTTCTGTAACCAGGTATTCAGGAATGCTCCTGATATTACAGCACTCCCTGAAATGCTAATAGCAAAGTAAATCCTCCACAATAAAGAAAGGCTGATCACTGCACACAATCATATCCATAATCCCATAATAAACCTGCCCTGACCTTACAAATGAAGTAATAGACTATAGGCGTAAACTCATATCCAAGTTTATTACAACTTTATTCTATGCAGGAATGTAAATTCACTTATTGTAGCAATCTGTTTCTGTACACACAGGCATACAAAACACAATAGCAAAACCATGCAAACCATGCTCCATCAACATTTTAGGACAATAATACAAGCAACACCGATATTCACTGCAACAGACTCCAAGTGAAAAGTAACACTTATTCTTGGAATTCTCCCTTGTACAAGCAATACGCTATGTATCCATACTAAAGTATATCTAAAGCCAAAACATTTTTCAAATATAGGGTAGGAAATGGTTAAAATCCCTGATTTTTTTTTCTGCATTCCCATTGGGGAGATCCCCTTTAGTCTAGGTTCACACCTATGCGTTTTTCGCGGCGTTTTGCAGAAACGCACTACAGTCCATTTAACATGATTTCCTATGGGACAGGTTTACACTTCCAAATTTCACCCGTGCATTTTTTGGAAAGGGTCAGAGATTTTTTTTAAAAGCAAAACATTGCATTTTTGGTTCTGTAGCCTGGGCTCACATATGTGTGGTGCGGTATATCGCATGTGATTTTCACAGGAACCGCACTGCATTCCTGTGCAAATCACATGCGATTTGTGTGCGGTGTGATTGGAGCCATACATTTTGCATGGCTCTGATCGCACCGCACCCGCACCCGCACCAAAAACGTGCAGGACCCTTTTATGGGTCCGCACTAGAATCAGATCGCATAGGTTTTCATACCTATGCGATCCGATTCTGCACATCGCACTGTGTTTTGCGAACCGCTTTTGGGGGGGTTGTTGACTTAACATACACACCCACATCGGTTCGCGCATGAACGGGGAGTGATTCTGATACAGTGCAGAATTCGCACTGAAAACGCTGAGAAATCCGCACCGCATCAGTGTGAACCAGGGCTTAGACTTCAATGGAGATGCTGCAGAAAAGCATGTAGTGCGTTTTATTGAGTTTTTGACACATTTATGATGCATTTTGCGTTTTAGTCTGCTTAGCAACAAGGAAAAAAAACTAATTTGAAAAAAAAAAAACGCATCAAAAACGTGGCATAATTATGCGTCAAAACCGCGAAACGCACTGCAGAAACGGATCAAACGCAAACTGCATAGATGTGAACCTAGCCTTATTTCTTGCCTTTACTTTTCAGGGTTTTTTTAGGGCATGTGTGTCTCAGGCTTGAGGGTTTTTTTAAACTATTTGTAGCCCTTGGAAATCAAGTTACTAGGGAGAAAAAAGTGTGATACACGTGTTTTCGTGTGTGTTTTCAGACCTTCCCATTACAGTCTATTAGGGCCAAAAACGCTTGAATTTTGTAGCTCAAGAGAGCTATAAGCTTCAAGCAACACTTTGCACAGGTGTGAATGGGCACAAGGGAAAACCATGGGATTTTGGATGTTGAGCATTTGGATAAAGGCTACTTTCATACTGATCCGTTGTAAGATTGCTTTTTTTACTGTGTTTGCGGTGCATTCTTACAGGATATGTAACTAAAAAAAAACTGTCAAAAACACAATGCATTTTTGCCGCACGTTCCACTGATTTCATTGGGGAGGTGCGTCTATGGTGCGTTTTTCTTTACCTCACCAAACCTGCACCAAAAATGCAGCAAGCAGGATTTTAAAAAATGCACCAGACCCGCAATGGATCAGTGTGGGGAGTTTCAAAGGAATACATTGCCACGCAATTTTCTTCCACTTTTTTTAAAGCAAAAGCGGAAGAAAAATGGATCAGTGTGAAAGCAGCCCTAACGCTTAAGTATGAATTGCGCCTTAGTTTTCACTGGAACAAGTGTCCCCACTGAAAGATTGCACCTCAGTTCCTGCGATGGCCCGAAATTTTGAAATTTCCTACACTTTCAGTCTCAATGCGAACAGTCACCAGGACTAAGGGTCCCATTCACACCAGTTGGTGAGTGCTATCCTCTATATAAAGCATGCTCACTGGTGTGCGGTATATGGGTGGGTGCGATGCGATGATACAACTCATCACACTGTTTGCTTTTTTCTTTTCTTTTTTTAACTCTATTGAAATGTTACAAAATGACCTTTCATTCAGCTTCAGATTGCAGCACATTGCGATTTTGTGTAGCACCTGGCAAATGTGTTGTGTTACGTAAAAATGCAACCTCTCCTACTTTTTGTCAGCAAATGGAAACAATAGGACATAGGGCAAATCGCCTTGTCTATGCGTTGGGCAATGCTGGTCAATCATCCCTAAAGCTACCTTCACACAGGTGGCTGCCGGAGAGAAGTAGTAGTTCTAGCGGTTCTAAACGCTGCCAGCACTTAGTCTAGGTTCGCACCTATGCGTTTTCCGCTGCGTTTCGTGGAAACGCACAGCAGTCCATTTAACATGATTTCCTAAGGGACAGGTTCATATCTCCGCATTTTCACCGGTGCATTTTTTGGAGAGGGTCAGGGACTTTTTTCAAACACAAAACGTTGTGGTTTTGGTTCTATAGACTTCAATGGAGACGCTGTAGAAAAGCATGTAGTGTGTTTTTGATGCATTTTTGCCATGTTTTTGATGCATTTTGCATTTTAATCTGCCCAGCAACAAGTAAAAAAAAAAACACAAAACACATCAAAAATGTGGGAAAAACGTGGCAAAAGTGCATGTGCAAAAACACACTGCAGAAACGGATCAAACGCAAACTGCATAGGTGTGAACCTAGCCTCACTGTGTGTCACCAGCAGCAGCTGTCAGCAGTAGCTGTCAGATTTGTAATCTGTACAAGTTAACAACCAGTGCCGCTGGCATCTAATGACTCATCTGAGCTTTCGACTGACCACGGATGCACACAGTGTGCATCCAGGAGCTACGCAGCCAGTTTCTATGTGGCCATAGCACAAAGTGCAGTATTAGCACGCTACTGCCCTTGTGTTCATAGCCTAGGGGTTCATTCACATGTGAGGCTATACTGCTACTACTCGGAAAGTGATTAGCAGTGAATTGCTTTTTAGAGGTGTTTGACAGGTGGTGAGGAGGTGATGTGTTGCGTCCTCATTGCCTACTTTAACCCTCAAAAGGCTGCACTGCGTGTTGTTGCGGCATGGTCCTATTCACTGGAAAAAGTGACATGCCCTTTAATTTTTGAGCAGTTGCATTTCTGGCTTCAGGTAGCCAGTCTGGGGACTATAAGGGTCCATGCACACTGGTCTTAAAAAAAATGACAGTTCTTATGGCAGAAAAACGCTCATAAAGAGTGCTTTTGCACAGCATTTACAATCATTTAGGATTTTTTTTCTGCCAGAAATCTCCTATCAAAAGAAGGGATTCCTTTTGCCTTTAAACGTTGTGTTTAAAAGATGCCTCTAAACATTCTAATGTTCTACAGGCAAAACGCAAAAGCCCTGTAGAAGCCGCATTTTTTAAGCCCAGTGTTCATGGACCCAGTTCACACTACATGCAGTTCAGTTGTTTTATTTTCTGTATCCAAAACACGCAGAAAGTAAGTTATATGGTTGTCACTGTCAAAGTTCACATCAGTGCTTGCAGTTCCAGTGCGTTCCTGTTGCAGAAAAAAAAAGTAGAACAGGCTGCATTTTTTCTGCACAGAACTGCACTGGAACATGGTAAAACGCACCAGAATGCACTGGAACGCAGCAAAAATGCAATGGAACTCACATGTTCCTATTTAAATTGAAGGAAAAGAGATGGGATTAAATGGAACTGGAACACATTAAAAATGCACCAGAACACTTCAACAACACATCAAAAACGCACCAGATGCGTCAAAACGTGCATGCAGAAAAGCATCCAGACTGCGTTTCTATAGTGTGAAGCGGCCCTAAGAGCCAGTTCACATCACATACAGTCCCGTGCATTTATTGCATCAAAAATGCATTGATTGTAGGTTACATGGTTTCCAATCTCAGTTCACACCAGTGCAGTCAGTTCCAGAAAAAAAAGCACAACATGCTGCATTTTTTCTGCACTGAACTGTATTGGAACTCAGTAAAACACACCAAAAAAGCACCGGAACACACATGTCCTTATTAAGCTGAAGAAAAAGAGAGAGACAAAATGAACCGAAACGCATCAAAAACGCACCGGGGACGCGTCAAAAACGCGCATGCATCCGGACTGCATTTCTAAGGTGTGAACCGGCCCTAAAACCGCGGCTCAGCCTCTTGCTGCCTCCCATGTGAATGAGCCCTTCTGTAAAGCGTGAATCTATCTGGGACGCACACATCAAACACCCCACAAAGGTTCTAACCCTTCCCTAGTCTTTTGGTTTTAGATATACTTTAATTTGGTAGATATGTGGCAGATGAGGAGCTATGGATCCCTGTGTGCCAGTCATGCCATGATCAGCTGTCACATGGGGACAAAGCACGTGTGTGATGAAGGATGGAAGGATGGAAGGATGGAAGGAAGGTACTCACTCTCCTGTGCCATGCTGATGACAGTCTCCGTGGTGGCATGATACTCATCCTCTTCCACGAAGGCATGGTGCTGGAAGGAGTCCCCCTGGAACTCATGCTGGTCCAGGATCTGCTGCAGAGGGGGTGCCTTGGGCAGCAGCTGGTTGACCACCTCCCGGGTGATATTGGGGGCTTCCTTTAGCCGGAGTTTGCTGAGGATCTGAGATTTGATGCTCTCCAGCCTCATCTCCTTGCTGTGCTTCCTCCACATGCACACCGGACAGTCGTGCTCCTCACTCTCTGCCAGGGAGCTCTCCACCTGCACGGAGCTCTTCTCCATCCCCGCCTCCGTCCCCGAGCTCCTGGAGAACTCCATAGACAGGACCAGCATGCAGAACAGGAGAGGGTACCGCTGAGACAGCATAGCGGACGGCGACTGGGGCTGCTGGTGCTAAGAGGACAGCTGCCTGGTGCAGGTCTTTAGAGGGGAGGGCTAGGCGAGCACACATCATGTACTAGGCTCAGGGACTCCTTCTTTTTATATCCCAACTGTTCTCTGTCGTAAAATGCTTTCATTGGCTGGAGAGGTAACAAAAGGCCCCTACCAGGGCTGTCACCAAAGTAAAAAAAAAAAAGAGAGAGAGAAAGGGAGAGGAAGAGAACAGGAGGTAGAAAGTGACTGTGATGTCAGTGTGAAAGGCATGGACTGGGCATACTCAACACCAGGACACAGCTTACTGTCCTGTTCAACCTGAAAAAAAAAAAAAAAACTCTGCGTTTTTAATTTAACACATTGAGCTCAATAAAAGAAACATTCCCCAGCAGAATTCTTACCCAAGAGCTCGCAGTTTACAACTTTTCAATGCTGCTGGCTACTACTCGCTTGGTTCTGCTTCCCTGAACTTCTAGTTCACAGGGAAGAGTTATGCCCCGTACACGCTATAAGAAAATCGTCTGAAAATTTTCATATGAGGACCGATCGTCTGAAAATGAAATCATTAGTACACAGCTTTTGAGAGACGATCACGACAATTTGTGCGGCAATATCCAAAGGAACAAGCGTGGAAATTTTTCTCGTACGATATCAGATCGTATGATTTTCATTTAACCTCAACGTTTTTAATTTAACACATTGAGCTCAATAAAAGAAACATTCCCCAGTGGAATTCTTACCCAAGAGCTTGCAGTTTACAACTTTTCAATGCTGCTGGATACTACTATCTTGGTTCTGCTTCCCTGAACTTCTAGTTCACAGGGAAGAGTTATGCCCCGTACACGCTATAAGAAAATCGTACGAATATTTTCATACGAGGAACGATCGTCCGATAATCAGATCGTTAGTACACAGCTTTCGAGAGCCGATCACGACAATTTGTGCGACAATATCCGAAGGGACAAGCGCGAAAATTTTCTTGTACCATACCAGATTATACGATTTATGTTTAACTTCAGCATTTTTAAATCAACACATTGAGCTCAATAAAAGAAACATTCCCCAGCAGAATTCTTGCCCAAGAGCTTGCAGTTTACAACTTTTCAATGCTGCTGGATACTACTATCTTGGTTCTGCTTCCCTGAACCTCTAGTTCACAGGAAAGAGTTATGCCCCGTACACACTATAAAAAAATCAAACGAAAATTTTCATACAAGGACCAATCATCCGATAATCATCTCGTTAGTACACAGCTTTCGAGAGCCGATCACGACAATACGTGCGACAAATCGAAGGGACAAGCACGAAAATGTTTCTCGTACGATACCAGATGACACAATTTTCATTCAATCAGTACAGTAGTCGTCCGAAAATACAATACAATACATGACATCACTTTCGAAATTCTTTTCTTTCATAGGAGAATTTTCGGACCTTTAGTAACCTTTTCACTTTCGATGTGAGACTAGCAGGCGAAAAAAAAAAAAATGGGTGATCATTCAACCGTAATTCTCATCGAGTGTACGGGGCTTTAGGCCTGGTTCACAATACATGCGTTTCAGTTGCCTTTTTTCTGCATCCAAAATGCACAGAAAGTAGGTTATATGGTTCTCAGTGTCATAGTTCACATCAGTTCTTGCAGTTCCAGTGTGTTCTTGGTGCAGAAAAAAAAAGTAGAACAGGCTGCCTTTTTTTCTGCACAGGAATGTACTGGTACATGGTAAAACGCATCAAAAACGCACCATTACTCATCAAAAACGCACCGTTACGTACCAAAAATGCACCACAACGCACATGTCCCTATTTAAATGGAAGAAAAAGAGAGAGGAAAAAATGAACTGGAATGCATAAAAAATGCACTTGAACGCCTCTAAAACGCGCATGCAAATGCATCCGAAATGAATCTGGACTGCGTTTCTATAGTGTGAACCGACCCTCAAAGTGGTGGTAAACTGTAGAAAAAAAAAGTCTTTAATTTCTGCAAGACATAGGTATAATAGTATGTGTACTAGCACATTATGTGAAACTTACCTTAGAACAAAGCCCTCCAGCGGCACTCTGTCACCGCTGACAGGGCTTCCATCTTCACTGAGTCTTTCTGGGTTCGCGGGCTCCGGTGGCTTGAATGGCCAAGCCCTGATGACGTCACTCCCATGCATGTGTACAGGAGTCACTTTTTACGGCACACAGCTCTGATGGAACGGCATGGCCGTGCCATCACTTCAGACCACCTGCACCGGTGCTCTATACAGGTAAATATCTCCTGAATGGTTCATGTGTAGGAAATATTTCCAGTACCTAAAGATAAGCCTTATTAAGTCCTCATACACACTGGACGTTTTTACAGCAGCTGCTTTTGGCTTTCGACATTTTTCCCTACAGCCAGTAAACTCCCTAATATGTTATCCTATGTGTCCATGCACACATAGACTGTAATCAATGTTTTTTGGCTGCGACATTTTTTGGCTGGAAAAAAAACCCCAGGACTAGTGGGTTTCTAGAGTTTTTTAGCTATAAAAATGCTCTAACTCTGAAAAACGTTGTAAAACACGGTAAAACGCAGTAAATCATGGCAAACCAGTGTTTTTGGACTTTTTTGACCCCCCCAAATTTATTTTCCTTGGTCAAAAATGCGAAAAAACGCAAACGCAAAAAACAGCAAAACGCCACTAAACGCTAATGCAAAAATGCTAAAAAAATGCTGAAAAACTTGCATTTTTAATGTGACTTTACACAGCTAATGTTACCAGCGTTATTAAAACATGCAGTGTGCATGGAGCCTTAAAGTGGAGTTCCACTCCCGCTGTAAAAAAATAAAAGTCAGCAGCTACAAAAACTGTCAGGGCTTCAATCTTCACTCAGCCCTTCTTCCGGGGTCACGGGCTCCGGTGGCTTGAATGGCCAAGGCGCGATGCCATCACTCCTGCATGCATTTACGGCACACAGCTCTGATGGAATGGCATGGCCATGCTGTCACTGTAGAGCACCTGCACCGGTGCTCTACACAGGTAGATATCTTCTACACGGTGCACGTTTAGGAAATATTTACAGTACCTACAGGTAAGTCTTATTATAGGATTACCTGTAGATAAAATTTACCAAAGTGGGTTGCTTCCACTGTAAATCGAAGCCCTCCAGCGGTGCGTTATCACCACGGACAGGGCTTTCACCTTCACTTGGTCCTTCTTCCGGGTACGCGGGCTGCGGTGGCTTGAATGGCCGAGCCACAATGCCGTCACTCCCACGGGCATGCCGTTCCTTCAGAGCACAGGTTCTAGGATAGGATATATTTACAGTACATACAGGTAAGCCTTTTTATAGTTTATACTTATAGTATACTTTAAAGTCCTCCAGTTCATACTGAAGTAGACTGTGACTGGTGAAACTCTGTAAGGTATTCTCTATTGCTTTTCTCACTAACCAGGGTATAGTATTATTTCTATCATAACCAGAAGACACATTTGGAGACAGTGTGCTCTCTACTTTCTATGGTCAGAGTTCTAATTTAAAGAAGAAATCCAGGCAAAGATGTTAGTTTCTCATGTGGTGGGGCTGTGCCTACACTGCATGGGTTAAATGCTTGTCTTTGTCTAGGGGTTCATAAAGCTGAGCTGACCTGATCCGCCGCTCCTCCAAATGCAAGACCAGTCCCCACTGCTCCTGACCCCTCCTAAACGCTAGCAGTCTTGTGAATGGGCTGTTCCTGACGTCATCACGCTCGTAGACCGGCTCCGGACATGAGGACAGCAGGGACAGTCCACCGCTGGACGTGGGGAGCGTGGTTTTCTGGAGGATCAGAGCGAATGCACCAGTACTCTACACAGGTAAATGTTTCTCTATACAGTGCACATTCAGGAGATATTTACAGTACCTACAGCAAGCTAAAGTCACACTTTGCAGAGCCCTATAAGGAAAGCTCTGAGAGCTGACTGAAAAGAAGAGACACACCTCTGCCCTCCACAAGGCTCACAGGAACAGAGCTGAAGCTGTCAGTCTGCTGGAGATCCCTCCCCTGTCACCTTTTTTTCTCTCTTGGTGTCAGCAAAACATGTCAGAAGTGACTTATGCAGATAACAGTGGAATGAAGCAGCAGACAGGAATTGGAATTACTACTCTTAATTGAGACATGTGCACACTATAGAGGGATATACTTTTTTTCATATTCCTTGTCTGAGGTTTACAACCACATTAAATGAGCAATTAACCCTTGCAGTGCTGGTACAGCCCCACTGCAAAAGACCATTTTAATGTTTCTCAGAGTTGAGCTTTAAAGCTTAAGTTTAGGTATGACAATCTTTATAAATGTACTTAGTTATTGGTTCAGCTTGGACCTATGTACACTATGTATGTGCCACACCTGTGGGATCCACCTGGAAGCTGGAGATCCCTGTAATAGGCACTACCAATATGAGGAGTTCCACAAGCTTCCAGGTCCTGCACCGAGTGGCTACTCTACTGCTTGCTGAACAAAGGAGGCTGCTCGCTTGGCATGGACGCCATTCAGGGAACACTTTGCATTTCCTAAATAAATGCAAATCTTTCTCTGATTAGATGAGGTGGAGATAATGACTTCACTGCCCTGTCTCTCCACCTTGTCCAATCACAGGACGCTTTGCATTAATTGAGAAAATGCAAAATGTTCCCTTAATAGCATCCATGCCAATCAAGTGATCTCCAGTGCTCACAATTCAGCAGGGCAGTCACTGAGCATAGGTCAGGAATCAAAAGCTAACGGTAATCATTGTAGCAGCAGTGCTTGCTACAGTGTTTGCTAGCTTTTTCTGGGATCCCACAGGAATAACACATACCTACCCATACATACTGTGACTATGTGAATATTGCCATACCTAAACTTCAGATGTAACAGTGGAAAGTGTAATCTGGGATCAATATGTTAGTTTGGAGAAGGGAGGAGGAGGATGGATGAGCAGAGGAGTGTCTTGTTATCCAAGGCTTTGTGTTTCTATTGATGTACACAGTGCAGGGAGACACAACTCCAGTGCCTGAATGCAAGGATGAGTCCATGGCAGGGGCGGACTGACCATTTGGAAACTCGGGCACTGCCCGAGGGCCCGGGGTCAGTAGGGGGCCCCATGAGATGCCCCTGTTACCTTTTTCATAGGCTTTTTTGAGTTTGGGCAAGGACACAGGGGCCCCATGATCCCCTATTGCCCGGGGGCCCCATGAGTTGTCAGTCCGCCTCTGGTCCATGGGCTGCTGCAAGAGAAAAGAGCCACTCTGAAACAGGAAACCTGGGGAAGCGGTCATGGCATCAGCGTAAATTGGAACCCTGGCAAGCAATAATAGATAGAAGAAGCTGCATACTCACATGTATACCTCAATGTGATCACATGAATGAGCCCTAAAAACCTATCACTGAATGCCAATGGAGATCATTATAGAATACATAGAAATAGCTCTCCTGCCCAAGTTACCTTGGGTAAGAAAATGAAATCAAACATTTGACCAGCGGCTATGGGACACATTATGGCTTTTCCTTTATAAGAAGGACAGATTTAGAATGGGGGGCCCGTGACACTTTAGGTTCGGTGGGCCCTTCATACACAGGAATTAAACAGCAAATGACTACATTTACCCATCAGAGTCTGTTTATTGCATGTCATTTGAAGTCTACATATACAAAGGTTAAATACATGTCAGGAAACCTCCAAGCAGATTATTAGGTAAGATAAATTATGAAATTTGAAATTTCTTCCGCAATTGACTTTTCACGCTGACTAATCAATAAACACAGAATTGGTTTAATTTATCAATGACAGTCACAGTTTAAAAATGCATGACATGGCGTCCCTGTGACGCCGCGCGCACACACATACACACGCAGCTGTGGGCTACCTATCTTAAAGTGGTGGTAAAGTCAGGTAGTTGAATTTTACCTACAGGTATAATAGCAAATACAGTATCTCCTAAATGTGCACCTCTTAGGAGATATTTACTTAAGCAGCAGCATGTGACACCACCGGTGCATGCACACTGGGCTCTGAACAGGCTGTGCCATCCATTCAGATCTCTCTGTACATGCGCAGGAGTGGCCTCATTGCGGCTCAGCCATTCAAACGGCTGAAGCTTGCGAACCCAGAAGAAGGACCGGGTGAAGATAGAAGCTCCTACAGCAGTGATGGTGTGCTGCTTGAAGGCTTCCTTTTCAGGCAAATCTATCATAATGTGCTAGTATGCAGTGTATGCAGTGTATATTAGCACATTATGACTTAGGCTGGCCATACACTATACAATTTTCTGTCCAATTTCTGCCCAATTTCCTTTAGATTTACCTTCAACTATGTAGTGCAAGAGCCTGCCTAATTGGATACAATTGAAAGTGTTGTTAGGTTTGACCTCCTATTATATGGTTTTTGGTAAATCTAAAATCTCAAGAAAATTGTATAATGTATGGCCAGCCCTAAACCGTCCGAGGCCCAGTTTTTTTTTTTTGTGATTTAACCACTTCCTGTCTGGCCACTGTATATAAACGGCCGGACGGAACAGTGCAGGGGCAGGTTGCCGTTCATAAATGGTGCCCGCCATTTTGGATTGTGCGCGCTCCCTGGGAACACCGAACGCTGTACGGGACCTCTGTATGAGGTCCCGATCATGTGATCACTGATTGGCCAATCAGTGATCACATGAATAGGTGTAAGCAAGATGTCACTTCGGACATCATTGCTTACTTTGTGTGAAATCTGTGAATGATCACAGAGATCACATTGTACAAGGCTTTTTACAACAGCCTTGTACCATGTGACAAGCTGTGACCAATCATAGCTCACACAGTATTTCTCAATGGCTGCAGCCAGAGAGAAGGAGAAATGATTGCTTTTACAGCCTTTATGGGTGTAAAAGCAATCAGTGTAAAAAAAAAAAAATCTTCATCACCCCCCACAAGTAGTACAGTGTCACTATGGTGACAGTATGTAAAAAAAACATAAATAATAATATAAACAATCAAATAAAAATGTAAACATTTTTTTTTTAAATTATAATTTTTGGTTATAAACTAATTTGGGTTATTTTTTTACTAAAAAAGATAACTGAATACATTTTGGCCACAATTTATGAAGAAAGATTAATTATTTGCAAAAGAAAAACACTTTTTTTCAAAATCTTTGGACTTTTTTATTTATATAGCAAAAAAAAAATAAAAATCCCAGTTGTTTTTTGGCTTGGCTAATACATAGGGATGTGATCCATTTTAGATTTTTATTACCTATACACTCTACAGTTACTTAACCCCCTACTCCCCCCCCCCCCCTTTTTTTTTTTTTCTTTCCCTTCTCCCTTCCCCCGTATTCCACCCACCATCTCATCAGACATTTCTCTTTCTTATTGTTCTTCCTTCTGATCTCCCCTTCTTTTTTTTTTTTTTACACCTGTCATATATCCTTATCATTCATTCTCTCCCAATCAAATAGAGCATTTACCGTCACACAGATATGACTAACTTCAACTATATCATACAATCAGGTTATAAATATATAAACCATGACCCTCATATCATCCACCGCTTTCTCTACCCTAATCTCCATGTCACCTCATCACTAAAAATTGCTGATATTCAAGACAAAACATCATGCACCAACATTGACTTATCCACTTTCCTCTGTGTGTCCTCTGGTTTGCATGGTATATTTGATGTAACGTTCTACCCCATTTCAACTTGTAGTACAGTTTACAATATGTCCCGTCTGCGACACGGGAGGCAACATGTCATGTCTATGTACTGAATGGGTTTTATGATTTATAGCTGTATATGCTCTATATGCTTCCTTGTTTCCTCTTATATTAATAAAGTATTTTTGGAAAAGAAAAAATCCCAGTGGTGAATAAATACCACCAAAATAAAGTTTTATCTGTCTCAAAAAATGCTAAAAAAATTCATATGGGTACAGTGTTGCATGACCGCGCAATTGTCATTCAAAGTGTGACAGCACTGAAAGCTGAAAATTGGCCTGGGCAGGAAGGGGGTAAACGTGTCCGGACATGAAGTAGTTAAGGGTGTGGGTGCACTCTAAATGGGTTTGCATGAGCTGCCAAAAATCATTTAGAATTGATACAATGGGATTGATTTACCAAAACTGGAGAGTGCAGAATCTGGTGCAGCTGTAGCCAAGCAGCTTCTAACTTCAGCTTGTTTAATTATGCCTTGAGAAAAAAAAACCTGGAATCTTTCTATGTACAGCTGCACTACATTTTGCGCTCTCCAGCTTTAGTAAATCAACAATATATCTTTAACATATAATTACAGGAAAAATATCTGCTTTCCGAGATACATTTTAATAAAATAAATTTAATTAGTATATTTAGTATTGGGGGGGGGGGGGCTTCTGGCAGGGGGCTTTTGCTCCCTTATCAATCTGGCTCTGTTTGATAATAATGAATAAAAATAACACCTGTGATGTACACAATGTTAAAGTGATTGTAAAGCTAGAATTTTTTTCACTAAAAACACATGAAATACCTATCTTCTCCCAATGGTTTTGCACAGAGCAGCCCGTGTCCTCCTCTTCTGGGGTTCCTCGCCTGTGCTCTTGGCTATCTTCCTATTTTTTTTACATCCTGTCATCAGAGTAGTTCAGTGTTACCATAGTGACATGGTACTACTCTGTGTGGGGGTGATCAGGGATTTTTTCTTTTAACCAATTGCCCCCTAGAGGATTTAACCCCCTTCCTGACCAGGCCATTTTTTGCGATACGGCGCTGCGTTACTATACCTGACAATTGCGCGTTCATGTACATGCTGAAATTTGTGTCCTTTTTTCCTCACAAATAGAGCTTTCTTTTGCTGGTATTTGATCACCTCTATGTTTTTATTTTTTGCGCTATAAACGAAAAAGTCTGACAATTTGGGAAAAAAAATTATATTTTTGATTTTTTACTATAAAACATCCAGTAAAAACATTTTAAAAATCAAATTCCTTCATAAATTTACACCAAAATGTATTCTGCTACATCTTTACTAAAAAAATCCCAATAACTGTTTATTAATTAGCTTACGTGAAAGTTATAGCGTCTACAAATGGCGGTATATGTACTGGAATTTTAATTTTTTTATACTAGTAATGGCGGCAATCTGGGACTTATGGCAGGACTGCAGTGGGCATTCTGACACTGGGTGGGAACTAACAGCCACTGACATCCCCAGTGTCACTAATACAGTGATCAGTGCTAATAAAAAGCTAATAAAAAGCTAATTACTTTGTACTAATGGCATGGGGCAGGAAGGGGTTAACATCTGCGGCGATCAAAGGGTTAACTGTGTGCTGTGTGTATTTTACATTGTGTGCATTGTGTGCTGTGTTGTGTTTTACTTGGGAGACATGCTGCTTTGTATCTCTCTGCTGCATGTCCATGCTGACAGCAGAAAGATCTGTGTTGTTCACCATTACCGAGTCCCAGCTGGGAATTCCCGGCCTGGACCCGGTCATCCCCAGCAGCCAATAGCGACGTGATACCGATACCTGTATCAGTATCAGTGTCAATACTGAGTATTTTGACGCGTACTTCTACTCGTGAAAATGCTCCGATACCTGAAACCGATACTTTGCGGAGCGATTTGCGTCCATACAAAATGTATGGATGTAAATTGTACCTCAAAGAATAGAATGCGATTTCAACAGGAATGCAATTCCTGTCCAAATTGCATGTGATTTCCCTACTGCTGTTGTGTGAACCCAGGCTTGTCATAGCGTTCACACAAAAGCGATGTGGGAAACCTCCCTGCACCGATCCCATGCTGTCACAGAAGAAAAGCTGGGGATTTGAAATCCCCGTGGCTTTCTTCCTCTAATTGCAGGGATGACGGTGAAAGTGCTGACCAATCATAAACCGTCTGGCCTGTACTGTCATCCTTGCAAGGAAAGCAGAGGTGAGAAAGCCGTGGGGATTTCAAATATCCAGACCCGTGAAGGGGCATTCTCTCCTCTCCTTTCAGGGATGACAGTAGGGACTAGATGGCTTCTGACTGGTCTGCACCATGACAGTGCTGAGCAATCAAAAGCTGTCTAGCCCATACTGTCATCCCTGCACTGAGAGGAGAGAAAATTGCAAGGATTTCAAATCCCCAGCTTTTCTTTCTGTGACAGCAGGGGATCAGTGCAGGGAGGTCTCCCACACCACTCCTGTATGAAGTCAGGCTATGACAAGCCTGGGTTCACACGGGCAGTGGGGAAAATACATGCAATTTGGAC